AATGTAGCTCGTTCGGTAATCATGAAATGTTATAGCAGCACTTCAAAATATCAAAATGGCGAAATTGGTTATCTACTCTGCCCTATGTTTCCAATTACCTGACGTGCCGTTAACTGTACTTGGAACGTCAAAATCTAATGTGTATTGTAAGCGACAAGGATATGTCTTTATGGACATAAATAAGTTACTTATTTAAAACCTTCCGTATTTTTCTTCGTTACAATATACGTTACAAGATATACGGTTTCTATGAAATATATACTCTCATTTGTTATTTCATTGTTGTAAAGTTTATATGTTAGATAGTACACTAGGGTTTTCCCACTAATTCAGGGCTATCACTTTAAAAAAAAGCATTTTATAATTAGCTTCTTTTATTGATGAAAATCGTGAGAAAATAACTGGGAGAATTGAAAGTATATAGGTTACCTACATTTTGCTTTTAATCCTGTCAATTAGATAATTGATTTAGGTCAATTATCTTTTGATTTAGCTCATAATAGGTAATAATAAAAAACTTTTGATTTAGGTCCATTATCTTATTGCCAGGATTAAACGGTTACACAGCTGACAATGTTTGTTATTTTTTTTACATTAATTAATCATATCAAGTATGAAGTTGCCTTTTTAAAGTGTGGTACAGGAAGTTGCCTAGACTTTTGGTGCAACGATTTTTATGGTCACTGGTTCTGATTGCTCAACCACGGATGAGCCATACTTTTAGAAAGAATCGGCACTTCTTCTCCCTGTATACTTTTAATTGTGTCGTATTCCTTCATAAAAAGGGCTCCAAAGTTTTTGCTTCACGTATTTATGATATCCTTTGAACTAGTTATGTCGTATGTAATTCATAGATTGTATTATATTTTTAGATGTTTCGGACAATTTGCAGTTTGAGCTTCGGATCAGAATCAGATGTATAATATTTTGGTCATGGCACAACATTTGCGTGGCAAGTAGAAGCTTTTTATATGAGGAACAAGAGTTATTCCGTTTACCCAGTAGAACTAACCTTTTTACAGCCAGTTGCACAAACGTCTATATTAAAATATTCGTTAGTTTAAAACGACATTATCCATACAAATTTGACATTCATTAGAGTTAAAAGACGTCATTAAATCTAATGGACGTATTTGCAACTGACGTTTAGTGAATTAAATATTACCTAAAATGCTTAAATACAAGTTGTCCGAAAAGGCAAATTTAGTTTTGATATGGTACTTAACTGAGATGTAAATTTATTTAATTTTATCGAGATACACCGTTATTAAATACTGAGTTACAAAAAAGCCAATAAAACAACTTTCGCCCAATTTATGGTGATTATCTAGAAAAGAAAAATTGGAAATCACTTTATATCATTTTATTTTATTAGCACTTAGTTGTATATTTCTCTTCTGTCTTCGAGATAAAGTTGAAGTCAATTACACGACAGGTTAGTCGTAATCGGAATACGAAACTATTGTTTGCCCGATCGGAATCTGTGAATTAGACCGATACAAAGGTATGTTCAAATCAGCGTCGTTACAGTGGCAACACGTTCTAGAAACCGCAAGTGATAGCTACATCGCTGCTATGATTCGAAAGGAGGTTGCAATTTATGTGGTACCTTGTAAATGTAACAAAAATTATCGTTCAGTTGACGATCTCTGAGTCTATATTACAAGGAGGAAACATTTGTGTGTTTGTAATGAATAGACTTAGAAACTACTTGACAGTTTTGAAAACTTATTTCGCACAATAGAATCTATATCATACGAGGGTGATAAAGGTTTTAAATTACGCGGGAGAAGTCTCGGTAAAACAGTCGCTTACATATAAATATTATATATATTTTTAAATTGAATTAATTATAATTCCTTAACAATTTTCTTTTTATATACAAACAAAGCTACCTTAGTCGTTTACCAATGCTTTTCCAATAACAAGTACAAAATCTGAAGAAGAGCAACAAACGTTGAGATTTACCCTGAAACGGGGGATAGGGAAAAATAACCGTCTATTTCAAAGCGGCAAAGAAATCAGTTTCGCATTGAAGCACGGATGAGCAAATATTATAGGACTTGCTACACTCGGTAATTCTTGAGACGACACAATATAAATACGTGTGCACACCGTTCGGAGTGAAGGTGGAACACAAAACGTAAAGTATAGCGATACGTTCCCGCGGCGCAGCGGCCTGCTACCGTGATTTCCCTGGAGATCTCGCGTCACCACGTGGGGTGAGGCCAATTGATCGTTAATTTATAATGAGCGACATTGTTTCCACGACCAAGCTGTAATTGAGTTGTGGATGCTTATTACCTTTTTTTGCCTTTTAATTTATTTAGCTTTCAAAGTACCCTTGGGGCAGTTTTCTTGTTTTTATAAAGGGTACCTATTAATTTATTTTTGGTTTAAAAGTTACCTTTAGTTAATAGATGGGGAAAATGAAAGTACTAAGTAGAAAAGAGGCCGAAAAAGTTCATCCTCTTTTTGATTAAAATAAATGTATTTCGAAAACGAAAATAAAGCAATTTCATAGTTTGGCACTAATAAGGTATTAGAGGTATATTGCCTTATATGACCGATTGTATTATTTATGATTGGTAAAATTCTAAAAACTGATCAGTCGTTGCATGATTGAGTATTGTTGAGTTGTCACATTAAAATTGTGCCGTAATTTACTTTGCGAAATTAAAGTGCAAAGTGGAGTCTACAAAGTGATTAAAATCCATTGTGGTTGAGTTTCAAACTATTTCGTGATATTTTTAGTTATCTCAGGGCTTTGTATAACAATCTTCTGTTTTTTCGTCTATCGTTATGAATACTGAGGTGATCCATATTTGTTACAACTCTGAATTACATGAAATGAAATGGATCTGTTCAAAATTCATGCATAAGCTTCGAACGCATAGCATCCGCGGCTTTCAAATGCCAATGATACTCAAAACTTATAGCGAAATCACCACTAAACGAGCGGCATTAGTGAATGCGGTTAATGATTGACGCTTTTAGTCACCGTTAGGCAATGTGTAACATGTAAAACGCATATTACGTGTTGTAGGTTCCAAAATTCCCTTGGCAGGCTTGTTAGTTGACTTTAGAGTAAACCAATTGAGTACTTGACTGTTTTGGGAAAGTATTTAAGAATGGCATATGATAATATTTAACAAAAAAGTGTTATTAAATAAAGCAAAAACACGTTTTTATTAATTAATGTAATTGTCCCGCGATAATAATCAGTCACGTGACATTTCGAGTCGTGTCGTCACAACTAAGAACAAAGACATTTACGTTTAGTTTATTGAAATGTGACGTGTGAAAGATGTATGTCTACCCCGCAAAAAAAGCGGCGCGAAGACATAAATATATTTTATCTAAAATGAAAAAGAAGATAATGTGAAATTTTCATTAATATTGTAGAGCACTATTAGTTTATTAGCATGAAATACAACAGATAGCATCTAATCATAAGTTTCACAATACGACAGTTTCGGTAGTGAAAAACAAGTGACGAAATTGCACGAAATTAAAATTTACATCGTAATAAACATTAAGATCCTTATTTTGATTCTTAAAATTGCATGATTATCTTATTAAATGAAAATTAAAAGTCGTAATTGTTTATTCGTGTGTCACGTGACTTGAAATACGACCCGTCATTGATTGACGTGACGTCAACTGTCAGATAAGTCATAAGCTTAATAATTGTAAATCAAATTCCAGGATGGCGCTGCTCTTAGCTTATTTATATTTATTTATTTCGAGTTCGATCGTTAGATGGCATTATTCTTGTTTTATTGACATCTTTTAATCTTCTACTCTAGGCATCTGTTTTTTGTACATATCACAATGACGTCTGAATGATCGACAGCGTCTTCGCGGGCATAATTTTGTTTATTTCGATTCAGTTGTATGGCAATTTAATTGTATTTCCCGATATATTTGTAACAAGATTTTTTAAAATTAAAATAAACAGTTAAATGTATTGTTTCAAACCAGGTATAATACACTATTGTTTTCACACACTTACGATAGTATTCGACAAACTATTACCAGATTATAAGGGCAAACGGTAGAAATTTTAAGTAATCTCTAAACCTAATGGCTTGAAATTCCATTTTCGTAGTACAAAACAGTAACAGCCCTCGAAAACGAGTTTCAAGGGGTGTAAGGTTCTAAATTGGTTATTTGATCAGTTGATTCGATAATTAATGAAAGTACGGTGTTATCAATCAAAATGCAATTGTAACGTTTCCAAATTTGATGGAATTTTACTATTTACATGTAAAATACAGTATCGATTATAATTTATCAAAATCGCCTAAATAATATAATCTTTTGGATTTATTAAAAAATAAATTAAAAATAATGATTCTCTATTACAACAATTAATTAAAGAATGTTAAATATTTTGCTTTTAAAACAATATATCGTAATTATAATAAACCTAGATAGATAAATAGGGCTTTTAAAAATATATTTGTTTAAGATGGACCCTTACTTATGGCTTTTGAGTTGCAGTTCGGCATGTTAAATTTAGTAAATTAACAATTTTTAGTAAATTAAAATGCCAATTAAGGTAATTATGCTACGGTAAATACCAATACAGCTTAATAAACTATAATTTACACTTACTTGGAATTTGAATTCATTATACTCAATAATTATATTTTAAGTGGATAACTGTTCAAAGTAACAGTAATTGATTATTTACGAAATTCAGATTATTTCTAGGTAATGGTGTTAACATCCACTTACATTTCATACAACTTAATTTTCATATTTAAGTAGTAATTCAAAATAGGTGAAGTTATTAATTGCTTTTAATAAATAAAACTTGACATTTGACAATTGTATTACTCATATTGTTTTTTCAATTATTTTTTTTTCTTTCTGTTAAAGCTGTTTTAATTGAAGACTTGAGTTTTTCTTAATTGTAATGTTGTTTATTAATAGCTGTCACGTATATTTATTTTTAGTTTAAAAGTAATGAAGTAATATTGTAGGTATTACAACTAAGTACTCACGTGATGTATTATGTCTGTGGCTGCGTAGAAACTCTCGTGCGGATCAGGCCTCTTCATCATATAAGGTCTCGGGAACTCGGAGTCTTCACAAATTTCTGTGGGCGAATAGAATTCTTTAAAATCCTAGTTGGTTGAAAGCTGTATCACATAATAATCGTAACAGGCAGGGTAATATTGTTACAACACCTCTATTTTAAGCTTTTGGGTTTGAGATAAAGCTGAGAGAGTTTTTATGTTCCGCTCCTACGTTCTAACAAAAAGTCATCAAAAATTAGGTTTAATAACCACAAAGTTATATACATGGAATTCAAAAGGATCAAATCAGTGCATTCTAATGCTTATTAAGCACTGTTACAAAGTTTGATGTGTCTTTGATCATCATTTTTTATAAAATAAAGTTGAGTAGATGACGGCATATAGAATTTAACTACCAGAGGAAAGTTTTCATCAATGGGTGGATTAGCTTATTGGGAAAGTTTTGATGACTATATAATTGAGTCTTTTTTATGAATTCATCATATACAAAGGTGTTTAAAGAGACTGATTTATGTAATTAAAGACCAAAAGTGATTTTGAAAAAAAGAAAATCAAACAGTATTTTAAGTTTAAACTCGCTGTAAATGTTATGTATAAAACTTCAAATCAATTAAGTTTTTCCTAGACATTTACACAAAATCGTAAATATTTATGGATTTTATGATATAATAATTGTTTGATATTTTACAGTTTGTGTATTGCTCCATTCAATATTCATTACAGTAGCTAATATTGTTTTGGACATTAGTAATTTTTCCTCAAGATCTTCCTCATTTATATTCGCCCTCGATAGAATGTGTAGGGGATGAGTGAATTTAATTAATTGAGGAGTATATAAAGAATGTCACATTGTTGTTGTAAATGTGTACAAATAAGAATATTTCGTTTATTAATATTTTTCATCAATATAACTCGGATGATTTCGTTATTATTTATTATAAATATGAGATTCTTAATATTTTCAAACATAATTACAATGATTATAGTTATTTATTAAGTAGAAGGTAGAAATATAGAGTCATATTCATTCTGTCCAATTTATATATTTTTAAATGCTTGGAAATACCTTTTTAAGACGTTAAGCGGTAAAAGCAATTAATGCTATTACTTAATGGTTATTATAGGCCTTAAATCACGGTCACCAAAAGAATCAAAAGCTTCCCCTCGTCGAGATCAAAGCGTCGTTTTATTAGATATCTATTCAGTGACAGAGAATAAATGCATAAGAATGTTTAAACGCCTGCGTCATAGGTCGGCTATTTTCTGGGCACCGTGCCTCTCGGGAGAGCAAAATCTCCACCATTATACTGTACTCAGGGAGCATCATCTTTTCAATATGGCAGCTGAACAATGGCCACCCTTCCGACCGGATGTCCGGCCGGCGTAACGAGCACGCCCCTATCTTCGCGTTTTCTTTTGAATGGACACTAATGTCAGCTTTCGATCTCATGGCGTATTGTTTAAAAACATTGGTAATAATGTCATTTTAAAGTTTAAAAAGCTGTACAATATTTGTTGTAAAAAAGGCAAAGTTAACACATATTATACTTCACCAGTATGATCACGTTATTATCTGTCTTCTTGTACTACTTTTAATATTTTAAACAAGGTTAATACACACATTTTCTTAATTATTCAATTAGAAGCTTTCCGCTCCCGGCTTCATCCGTTCAGATTACTTGATTTGAATTCTTAATTGAACTCCCTTAAGTTATAATAACTATTGCTATACTAAATTTCAGCTTTAAGCTGGGCATTGATAGGTCAGCCAGTCATCTTTGCAGGTATCGAGAAAAAAAAAATTATTCAATGGAAACATAAAAAGAAAACAACTGATCTCTATAACAAAAAGATACGGTTAGACATTCTTAAAAATACATATATATATATATATATATATATAAACAGACGAATTGCGAATACACTCTCTTTTTTATTATTTATTTTAAATGATGGTAATTAACAGTATAAAAGCAAACTGTTTGTGAAATAGTATTATTAAGTATATCATTAGGCTGTTTTGTTATAGCCATTGGACTAAGAGGTCGCAGTAGGGGAAGTAACGATCTATGTGCAAGTACACTCGAGTGCAGTCGAGAGGCAAGTCGAGTGTACCAAGCGGGCTAACTAGCTTTAGTTGGAAAAACAGGTTTTACAAACTGATGCCAAGAGTGTTACGGACTACATTCTTTTTAGTTTATTTTGGCGTTAGTAAAAGTGTAGATATAGTTTGTATTATAATAAGATGCTAAAGTTAAACTTGAGTACTTTAAAATAGTATGAAAATCTCTACCTAGACGTAAATACAAAAAAGGGGGGGTTTTAAATTAAAAGAAAATGTAATTTAATTTGTTCGACCAATATTTTATAACAACACTATTTTGAAGAAGTATTATATTTTGAGAATGTAACAATGTAATTAATGAAATTGTATCATATTGAAAGTGCCGAATTAAGTCAAAGCAAGGTCATTTTTTTTTAAGAAACAGAAAAGTCGTCCGTTGCTTTCAGAAGCTTATTTTTCTTTAGCATTTTTTAAAACTGAGTTGTAAAATTTGCTACTTTTGCTACGTGACTTATACGGCTCTGGCCATTGAGAAAAATCTTGATAAAGCTATTGAAGTATACTAAAAATATAATTATACTATGATGACTAATAAAAACTTCAAAGTTTTCTTTTTTTTTCTCAAAGGCAGCAGTATTTCTGTAACTGAGTTAACTTTGTTTGCAGTATACTTTGAAGTCTTTAGATTTCATTTATAAATTTAATTTAATTTAATTTATTTTTGTTATCCATTTGACTGCACTAACATTTGTTATCAATCAATGTAATTTTTACAATGGTATAATAAAAGTCTATTGTGAGTATGAACCGTAAAAACAATATTGTTCGCGGTAGACAGTTTGTTCATCAACGAAACGGCATTGTTTGCAATTAGGGGCAAACCCTACGGATTAAGTATTCCTTACTTTATTACACTTTTCATTAGGTCTATTTGTGGACCGACCACCCCATAAAAGCAACGTAGCCAGAAGGCATTTTTTTCTGTCATCGAAACTCATGTTTGAATCATTTGTGTTCCATTGGAAATTGCTCGATGGAAGCTAACGTGTAAATATGTGGATGTCTCCTCTTTGTGATTCCATTTTTGAATGATCCTTTTTGATGTGTTTTTTATTTTGTTTTTCAAAAAACAATACTAAGAGCTTATACGTGTTTATATATATTTTAAAGTAGCCAAATTATGGATTAACTACGAAATATATTTTTCTTTAGAACCCCCTTTTTGTTTGTAGTTTGCTTATATTCTCAGTCTACCTTTTTATAGTATACTGGCTTTCGCCAGTGGCTTCGCCCGCGTGGACCCTAGGGAAATGTTAAGTGGGATAAAAAGTAAGCTAATACCCTATCTGTATACCAAATTTCATCAAAATTCGTTCAGTAGTTTCGGCGTGATAGACCGACAAACATCCAAATATCTAAACATTCAAAGAAACTTAATAAGATTCATATTATGAGAGTGTTTAAAGATAACTATATAAGTAGTCCCTCATATTGGTTGTACAATGAAAAAAAATTATAATTTCGTATTTTACAGAGCAAAAATTTTCATATGATATCCATATCAAGATAGTTCACAAAAACACCTAGTCCATTAATTTGGTCCATCGATAGTGTGAGATTTAAAATCATGTTCAATTTAAATAGATTGAAATTTCAGCACTACATAGGAGAGAAAATACTCAATACTAAATTGTGTCGTTCATTTTTCATTGATTTTTATAAGTACATAAGATTCAAATTCAGGTATTTTCTAAAACAAATAAATCTAGTACTATGAAAACTCACCGTTGTATTCGTTTTGGTCGTGTGTTTCTCGTTTATCACGACGGCCAAGGGTCTCCCTCCAAATGTTATAGGGCTCTCTGTAATCCTCGTCGACAACCGCAGGGCTGAAAACAAAGAAATTTTTATTTCACGTAACACAAAAAGCGTATTAAACGGCTTTCCTTTTTAAAGCGTACTAATTCAATTAAAGCACGTACAAAATTCGTCTTTTTTAACATTGTAACAAATGCCCAGTATACACGGCTAAAATGCTGGGACCATTTCAAATATTTGCTGACGGTGCGTTGGATTTTGGAACGTCTGTTTTATTTTTATTAAACCTAAGTTCCGTTACGTTAGTGAAGTATAAGCACTTTTCACGGATCTCGGATTTCATAAGGAATAATCTAAATTGTTTATTAACGAGGTTTATTTTATAATTTTAAATCGTGCTATTATTTGCTGGCAAATATTCTTTTAATAAAAATACAGCATCGAACACTACTGTGTCGTATTATTTGAGGTTCTAAACAAATAAAACTTACGTCTAAATTTTATAAAGCTTTGTTTGAATGAATCTCTAATGCTGTAAAAGTAAAAGGTTTTCATACTTTTACATTTAAATAAACTTACCGTAACATATGAATAGGGGGGCAATTCGCAAGTGCCAATGCGAGTCTCGGGGCTCTACGGTTGTTTCTAGAGTTGGAATTTCCATTGCGTAGAGACGGACAGAATGGTTTCTTCAAAACGTTCGGGATCCTTCGTCTAGTTTTCTTTGCCAGTATAACAGCAGTAGCGGCTATGAATGCACCTCCCCCGACGAGGGCTCCGCAAGCTAGGCCCACAGACACTCTTAGAGAAGAATTCCGTTTCTTCCTTGATGACGGTGGCGTATCTGTTCTATAGTATTCATCTAAGAATTCGGTTGACGCATTCACGACCGTTGGCACTGTTGAAATAAAAAAAATACTTGTTCTGATACACAATTCAATTGGAAACAAAGTAAATGTTATGAAAAATATACGCTTTTATATTATTTTAGTAGTTCGTTAGAGTATTTTGAATGCAGACGAATAGGCTACTTATTTTAGCTTTTGCTCGATTTGTATATCGCCTAAGACATTAGTAAATACTTGATAAAGAACTTTCTTCTGGAAGAACTTATGACATCATTAAAAAGTAGCAGACGAGCCTGAATTGTTTATTAATATCAGTTTATATATCATTGCTTGTATGTTACATCAAATTATTTTTATTTTACTGATATAATCATCCCCTAGAGGTCTTGTACCTCACCAAACTGTAAATAAATCATTATCATTGGCAGTAATTGGTCCTCGGGTAAAATGGCGACCCTTTCTATTATTAGATATGTAACGTTTAATATCTAATGAGCAGTAGTTTCAGTACTGTACATAGAATATAAACGATGAAGTAGTATTGAATGAGGTAAAACAACGGCACATACTCAGACAATACAGGGAAATGAATAGGTGTCGGGCACAGAACTAATTGTTGGTCCACAATGGTGTGAAACTTAGCCATATCCCGCGAGGAACGTTATGTATCTCAATGAGGCTGCCGCCGGCGACGTGCTGCCTTATTGTGCTATGTTTATCTGATTGTTAGAACCCGCCTCGCGTATTAGGATCAAAGGAATGATTTACCGAGATGTGACTTTACAATTCAACAAGTAAGGTATTATGTCATTATGTCCATTCTCCAGGATTAAAATTTCTTTTAGGTATCATTGATAGTTAAAAGCAAGTAGAGATGCTTTATGATATCGATAAGTTACAGTAACTGTTTAACAAATCAGGTCTTCTTAACTGATGGTTAAAGATAATGTGTCACAATCTTCCACGCTGCCCAATGTGGATTGGAGAGAATTAACGACTGCAAATGTACCCAGGATTATTGACACGGCATGCCTTACGAAGTATGGAGTAGCTTGAGATAGAAATTTTTAGGTCACCTATCTCATGACCGACCCTTGCGAAAGTTGCTTAGCATCATTGATCGTCTGCGGCGCTGCGGCGCTCATCCACTATGCCACCGAGCGAAGCTTAACATAAACAAATATGGCGTATTTTAATTACTCAATAGTGCCCGTATGCTGGGTCCCATAGACACTATTGCTGCTGCGAACCAGGGTTTGTGAACTGTTCGAATAATACCTGTTAATAAATATTCTTAAGTAAGTTTTCCAAAACTGATCTTTCGAACTGAAATTCTTTTACGAACATTACAACCACTGGGATTAAGTTTGTTAATTAATTCCAAGCAAAAATAAGCTGGATTACTACATGTGAGTTTTTTTAAGCAAACACAAAACCGGCCAAGTACGAGTTGAATTCGCTCACGTAGGGTTACCCTAATATTATCCATTAAAAAAGTAAAAAAAATGTTTCAGTTTTTATGGAGTAGTTAGCAATTTTAGGGTTCCTTTCTTACTACGGAACCCTAAAAAGTTGCGTAATACTGTGAAGATGTAACGTAAAAACCTAATCTAAAGAGGTATATGGATCTAAAATCTTTTTGTTTGATTTTTAATAAAGACAATCTAAATGGAAAAGTTTTAAAAATGTATCCTCTTTCTTTGAACTGTTTAATGATAGTTTAACAAGGTTTTTGAGCCCTGCTGGGAATACGCAGACGGTAAAACTATTGCGCTATTGACTGTTGACTTTCTATTAGTCTTTGTACCGCCTCCGGGGACTCGCCGCACGCTGTATTGACCAACTTTTTGAACAATGAACACGATCTAAAACCGATCGTAGATTGTATTCGAAAAGGACAAAACACCTTTTCAACAAATATTTTGACATTAAAATTGAATGCGTATTAATTATTTACTTTTTTCAAATTTTGAGCTAGGCGCATAAATAAGGGTATATTTTTCTATTGAACATAAATATTAGGCATGTGTAAAATTTTATCTTTATTAATATAATTCATTCTCAAACTCCTTTTTGGACTTACAGAAAAGCAAACATCAGTTAGGTTTTGTGGGTAACTGTTATGTAAATAGGTCAAAGTGTCAGTTTTATAAACTAACAAAACTGGGTCTAAACTTAAAGTGAGTTTCGAGAGAATGGCTGAGTGCCAGTGCAAAATCAGGGAGTGCCAAAAGTCAGTTAATTCACTACTAATTCCTAATTGTTGTGTAGGTAATGCGCTTAAGGGTACCTCTCGTACATTTAAAGTGGGGATGGTTATTTTTTTTTCTTCACCATAGTGTGGTGCGTCGTTGGATAGATCTTCTAAAAACATTGGGGATGTGGGAAGGCCGTTTATTGATTTTTACTAAATCAATAAACGGCCTTCCTTTTGTAACTTATAGATAATGCTACGAAATCCTTCATGCTCGCACTTGTCCGGTATTCTTCTTATTTGGAATGGTAAAAATATTTTTCATTAAAACGGTGTTCAAAAAATAAAACACCTATCTTTACGTAAATAAAGATAGATTTTATTATTTTTTGAATTTCCTTATCCTATCCTTGAATAATATTATTCTTCCAGGTTTTCTTTAAATAAACACTTTGTACAAACTAAGCAATAAATAAACATTTATCAACTATATACGATGAAATGTTATAATACACCTTACATTGTCAATTTTCATGGAGTGTGAAAAATGCTTTAAAAGATATATGAAGAGATATCCCGCAACGGTTAGCGTATTGCATAATATATCAACGTCAGATAGTAATTTATTTTTCCTATTTATTTACTTTAAAAGAGCTTCCAAAGTTGTTTATATTGGAAAAGATGTGATAAGATCAATCGATTAGTACTTAACAAAGTTTTGCTTTTAGTAACTTTCGCACGTTTTGTTTGTTGAATAAAAATAGAAGAAAGAATACTAAAACATTGAATTAGTTTATATCTTAGTCATCATTTCAGGTAAATAATGGAGTACTTTCAAAATTTATATAAGACACGTGTTGTTAAAAACTTTACGTAATATGGGTCTGGTGACTTGTTAGTACTTTGCCATATACCTATATACCTACCATACCATATACCTATACCTATACCTATGGCAAAGTACATATACATACTTTATAGTACTTCGCCATATGCCTATGACAAAGTACTATAAAGTATGTATATCTAAACTAATAATTTAACAATGTACTATTGTGAAGAGAAAAATTAATGGATTATCAATATTATTATTATTGGCCAAAGTTGCTCAAATTAATACGTAATGTTAGTTATACCTAAATTCTTAAAATCGTATTGGCTTGACCATTAGCACTGTCATCGGAATATCCGTGCCTTATATATAATTTTGCTCCTTTAAGGTTGGTTAAAATTTTAACCATTCTGCAAAATTAATATTTTTCGAACGTATTCACTAAGATAAACAATCAAACAGAAATCGGTGACGGAAAAGAATCGTTGCGCTCCGATATATAATTAGCAAGAAAAACTTAGTCTCATACGTGCAAAGTCAAACAAAATTTTGCACACGTGTTTAGAAGCCCTTGAAGATATTAATATTGGGCTATTACAACAAAATTATAGGTTAAATTGATAACTGTTTTAACGTCGTTTAAAAATTAAGTTGAAGATATTTTTAAAAGTATATCGTTGTTCAAAAATATATAAACAAAAAAAATACCATGCTAAATTGTAACTATTAAATAAATATAAAATAAAGAAAGATTATTTAAATCACATTGATAAAATATTTCTAAACCTAATCGGGCAATGAAAATGTATCAGACTCGATAACAACAAATGAACTTAAAGGGAAAGAACAATTGAAAAACCGGGACGGAAAAACTTTCGTCGAATTCCAATTGCATTCAACTTTTAGGTTCTTTCGGATCCAAAATATTTTCAGCGGGCAAACTCTCCCTTCAATTGTCCAAATGATACCTACAGTTACTAATAAACATTGAAGGCTCTCACCGAAAGCGCGTTGTCGCTCAGATCTTTTCATTAATTATACGTATTAAGTGACGAAATGCTGGGAATATTAAACAGCGGAGACAAATTGAGTTAATAGACTATAAATATTTGTTTATTTAGCCATGGGCTGGTTTAGGAATTAAAACTTATTTATCGCCATTTTGATATGATGCTAATTGTACGTCGCTTGAAATCTTTTTCTTATTTTTCGACATAGAGATAAATGATTCATTTTATTTTTTATCTCGTAGATTTATATCTACTTAAACACGGAAAATTAAATAAACGCAAAAAATGTGAGAAAGAAAATTAAAAAAATTGGCATAAATTACCTATTTTAGAAAGGAAATATATTATTTAAAAAAGTCACCTGAAGATAATAAAACAATATTGTACAAATAAACTGTGATTATTATTAAACTGAATATTTACAAGAATATGATAACATAATATATATTTATCTTTGAAACAGATACTACTGAATTGCTGAAATTTTTAATTGTAACATGACTTAATTTGGGGTTACCAATCCCAACTAAGATTTTAAGAACACAGTAGCAATATGGTCTAAGTTTAAGGTGACGAAAAAAAAAATATGGCAACTCGTTGCTTATTACATGTAAATTGCACCAATCTAAAGTCGGGACGGGTTTCTAGTCTCTGGATAAAAATGTAAAAACTGTTGGCAGTGCTCAAGCATGATTAATGGCTTGATGACATAAGGGTTTTGGTGACATGATGCTCACCCTTGGTTCAAAGGAAGGTCACAGGCAAGGTCGCAGCTTAAGGCAGTTGACATATTATACTTGGTGCTTTGACCGTCAGATACTTGTGAAAATAGTGTCGATTTCGTACACGGCAGTTTATTTAAGATTCCTTTGCTCGTTCAAAAATAAATATTACATTTTTAAATGTAACATTTTGGGAAAAAAATATTTTTTTAAATTACCTTGGTATTAGTTATATATATTGTAGATCGCATCGCATAAACAATTTAAGTACTTTTTTTTAAAAGGGTACTGAGAAACCATTTAAGGATATTTCGAATAAAGAAAATTATTTACTGCTAATCGGATAATATCTAATATGAGATTGTGGACTACGCGTCGCGGTCTACAAAATTTAATTGAAAGAACGATATAATCCAGATCAAAGATATTCTTTAATTACAAGTTCTTCATTAAGCGGATGGCGATTTATCACTTAAGAGGCGATTTCCTCAAAAGAGCTGTGGATTAATTAGAGAAAGATAAAATTTGTGAAATAGCTGGAGGCTTGCGAGTGCTCAGAACAGATAAGGGAATCCCAATGAGGAGTAATGGATCTATTAGCGTTCTTGGGCCTTCTGTGCTCTCTAGAGAACCCCCTTTTTGTTCACGCGAAAAATCACCCAATCGTGCTTATGAATCTTTCCTGTTCAGTTTTTTCGCCCCTGAATAATTTGCTCCAATAATTTGTTTGTATAAAACATTTAATTCGATAAACTGCTTCGGATTCCCATCCGCGAATTTAAAAGGTGTTTATTTAGAGTATACGGCACTGATTAGACCCGAGTCAAATGGAGTTTAAATCGAGACCCTCGTATTTTCAATAATTTATTCTCGTTCACCGTTCGAATAAATAAACTGTTTATTTTCAATATGTATTTCTATTGGTTTGAATTTGTAATAAAGATCAGTCCAATCAGTTTGGTCGAATGGATACGTTAATGACATAAATTAATTAATTCAATAATATGTCTCACCTGATTTAAAAGTTATTTCGCTGATCAGGATCCATTCATGCTGAAACTTGAGTTTCATCATGAGGTGTTTGGCTGTTCGATTCTGCAGGTCTATGTGAACCACGCGGGCATGTTCGGATACTCGGTCCTGTTTCGGTTCGTGTGTTATGTAGTCTTCTTGCCATCTCTCTCCCTCCAGAGAAAAGTACACTTCTGCCTCTTTGAAAAGCTGGATAAGACATGAAATAACCATGATGATGACTGATGGTAAATACATATTAAGCTTAGTGGCAGTTTAGGTCAACCAACTAGTGATTTAAGGTTGCTCAACTCAAAAGTGCTACTAGGGAGAGTATTCTCTATGAAGTATAGTAACGATAATTATACCTGCTGTTATGCTATGCAACGGCAGGTATAATTGTGTATGTATACCCAACCCCACATAGGTCGATTTCATGTATTTAGTATGTCAGTGATTATATTTGCACCATACCGCGTGTTGAGCAAATGTCATAAGGTTATTTATTATTTTTTTTCTTATGAGTACGATATAATAAAGCCTAAATTATATACATCCTGTGACCCATGTCAAAGAAATGTATTAAGTAATAAAACGCGCGTGGCGACACGCAGAGCGGGCAAGACATATTGTGGGTTTTAATTCTTAATTAAAAATAAATTAATATAAACATTGGGAAACTTAGTAGGTAATTAATTATTCTAAGTTAATTATTTTAATGGTTACATGTTATATAATATCGACTGAATAATAATATCTACTAAGATTATAATAATATGAGTAATTTAAAAGTTGAGTGAAATATAATGTAATAAGTACCGGGCCACGTAAAGTAGTAAAAAGGGATATTATAAAAGGGTTTAGCCGGATACGTATGACGAGTCGGCCCCCAAATGGGAATCGATATTGAAACTTATGTTTTAATATAGACTTGATGTTCAAACACGATTTATGTACTTTTCGCGACCGACTTCCGCTTTGACCTTGAGATAGAGAGCAAAATATCCGTATGCTTGACTATTACTGAATGTGATATATCTCTGAAGCTAATTAAGATAAAGAAGTGAAACTAACGCGAGGTGTTAGGTTACATTACAGAGTATATCACATATATTTTTTTATAATTTTTAGAATAAAAAATTACATTAAAAAAATAAAAATAAAAAAAAACATGTTTTTTTTTCTGAGTTCTCTGTGACTTACAATCACGAAATTAATATATGTTATGCTCCTTTGTGTGCTCTATCACCCATAAAAATTGCGTGAAAAAAAAGTTGGTGCAACATAACGAAAAAAAATTATATGTGATTCGCGCCTTGTAGTGTGAGTGTATAAACAAACAAGTTCGAACTTGTTATCGAGCTGTTTACTGCATCGTTTGTTTAGCTAAAGTAGCAGTCATTTGTATTACACAAGAAGGCAGTTTGGGACTCAAATTCTGTCATAGGTATTTTGTATCAGCATTTTGAAATTATTAACTATCGAACCAAATCATTATTAAGTAATAATGTCGAAAAAGTGTAAAAATTGTAACAAGTACCTGTGTAAGATTCCTGGTTATAAAAAAATTATAAAGAATGAAGAAGAAGCTAAAGTGTTTAGTGACTGTTTGAATAAAATCGTAATAGTTAATGATATTTTTGTGAGAAGTGTCGACTTATCCCATATATTAACAAAAAAGCTTCTACTTCTAAATGTGCAGCATTTAACTTGGCCGAAATAATGGACGATCAAAATAATCTCTCAGTACAATATGTGAAATCAGCACCTAATATCATCAAAGCAGAAGTGAAATCAAGACATATAAATAGAAAAGTCTATCGAATTTACATTCACTATATTTCCGAAAGTAATGACTACAATAGTATTCTTCGTTATTGCTGTGCTTGCCCCAATGGCAAACGCAGTGGGATGCTGTTCTCATGTAGCAGCTATTATTTATTATCTATCATATGGATGATATTTGTTCAAAATCGTACGTCCTGCTGAGGTCCTAACTAAGTTATTTGCGACTCAAAGTGTTCCGATTGTAATTAATTACAACAGTGACGATGATTAATATTTTGTTTCTTGTATTTTGGTAGACACGAAAAAGTAATAATAATAAGTATTGAACACTGGCTGTTTTTTTTTTCATTTCTTTTTTAACTATTATCCCATCTCTTAAGACTAGTTATTTATGTTTTAAAACAAGCTGATGTGAAATTTCGAAAAAAAAACAATGATGTAATGTGAAAACCTTATAATACAGGGGTATACCATAAGACAGAAATCACATATAATTTTTTTTCGTTGTGTTGCACCAACTTTTTTTTCACGCAATTTTTATGGGTAATAGAGCACACAAAGGAGCATAACATATATTAATTTCGTGATTGTAAGTCACAGAGAACTCAGAAAAAAAAACATGATTTTTTTATTTTTTATTTTTTTAATGTTATTTTTTATTCTAAAAATTATAAAAAAATATATGTGATATACTCTGTAATGTAACCTAACACCTCGCGTTAGTTTCACTTCTTTATCTTAATTAGCTTTAGAGATATATCACATTCAGTAATAGTCAAGCATACGGATATTTTGCTCTCTATCTCAAGGTCAAAACGGAAGTCGGTCGCGAAAAGTACATAAATCATGTTTGAACATCAAGTCGATATTAAAACATAAGTTTCAATATCGATTCCCATTTGGGGGCCGACTCGTCATACGTATCCGGCTAAACCCTTTATGGTAATTACCTGAACATCTTTCGTAAACATGTTGTTAGTGTGTATGTCCATGTAATGGAACAGTCTAGTGTTAGTAAAATTAAATGTAAGCTCAACTTCATCTTCCAGTAACATGGATTTATTCCAGCCAACCCACCGAGATCCTAGAAATAATTTTTTAGGTCATTCATTTACGTAGAGAAAATCACATGTTTATGTTATTTTCAAGAATTATCCACCTCCTGTATCTGAAGGATCGGGTAGTTCGAAATCATTCGGTCCTACTAAGGAATCAGTCATCTGACCGAGTCCGTCGTAGAGAGTGCCGTCTCGCAAAACGCCATCGTACGCTAGGTCTTCGAATTTAGCACCGCCCGTCATCGACTGCATGTCACCTCCCCGAGGAGCCGAGTACGCCACTAAAGCTTCTGTAGAAAATTCGGTGAGATAAATACACCGCCAGCAGCGGTGTCAGCACAGCAATAATAATACAAATGTTATAGTAATAACAGTCGCTTTAGCAAACACCGCTTAGCAATGAAGGTTTGGGTTGGGAAGTCCCGGGACTATGCCAGCATTGGATCAGTTATACATACGTTTCCACCGGCAGCCGTACAGTTCGACTCTCATGCAGGCTGTTCTGGGGTGAGCGGCGTAAGGAAAAAATCGAACTTTAGATGCGATGAATGGTGCTTCCAGAACTGTCTTCGTGGCTGTATAAGTGTTAACGTTGCCTGTGATTAGCTGAAAAAAAGGGTTTATTTAGTTAAAATACTACTGATCAGTTTACCAGAATAACGTTGAGTGTCATTTTTATTTGTTTCATAGATGTTTTGCTGGAATTGCCGTTGTTAACACCCACCAAACCGCACTGGGCCATGGCCCATTTTTCCAATTCGATTTGAGTCCATGAATACATAAGGCCTATGCCGTAACAGTGGAGACCTTGATAGGCTGATGATGACGATACATGACTTCAGTAAAAAATGTTCCATTTTTAAATTACCAGAAAATAGACTTATTTCAAAACTGGGAAAAAGTCTAGATATGAAAAAGTTAATTACGTATTAAACAATTTCCGTGCTCTAAAATAATTTAATTTTTCTCTCTAGCTCTTTGTCTTGTATGATTCTGAATGGTTACGGAATTATTATTTTCGATTTAATAAAGATTAAGTCACAGAAATTATTTGAGCATATTAATTTGTGTACATATTCTAAAATTTGTTCAGCGATACTCAATATATTAAAGGTTTCCTCACGCTTGTAATTAAGGGGGTGTGTATATACCACCAATGGATAAGGTTTCGTGCCGCAGCGGGACTAATTTTTGTGGAACACGACTCTACGTAACCGAGTCTGCCCCAGTTTTCTTAGACTAAAACGGGAGTACGTACCTATTTGAATTTAAATTCTTATATAAGCCTCCACCTACACCTTGTGATAATACACTATATTCAGTGAATAAGTTCATGTGTTAAGTAATCTAAATTTAAGTTTAAAATATGCATTGAAGCAATTTGTTTTATAGTAGACAATACGTAAAATTGGGATGACGACTTATTTTTATTTGTCTGTCCGTCGCGTAGGTTAATAAGGAATATTAAACACGTATTTTTTTTTAGATTTTGCGTGATCAATAAATAAAGCAATAAGAAATGTCGCATGACGTCACACTTTTGTACGTATCTAATATTTTTCTATTAACTGATCGATGTAACATTTTCAATGACGTCTTAAAGCAAAAAATATTAGACTACTTGTTATGTTTTCTTTATACAGTAATATTTTTCCTTTACGTAATGTGAATATATAATAAGATTGTGTACTCCTGCTGTTTTACAGAATCACTCACGCAAAGTTGATTTCCTTGTAAGTTTGATATTATAATGGAAATTAATGTTTCTTTCGAGTTTTAATTACGCAGTGTGTAGGCAGATTCGGTCTCGTGTAACGCTAGCCTAACTGAACAACTTCGCCGATGTCTACGTGAGGGTTGAAGTTTGTCTTTTGTAACTCGTACGGTCATAATTACTGATTGAATCAACTATTTCATTCAATTTATGGTGAGTATGATTGTATACGTGCCATCATTTGATATTCAGTACCTTAATTATATACATAGTATTATAATATCTGTGATATAACATTTTTTTTTAAGTTCAATAAATTTTGTTTGCACTAATCCTTTCATCGTCAGCCTATGGATAGAATCGAATTTATTGACTAGGATAGGATGACAAAATTTTAGTCATTCATCCTATTACCGGTTTTAGAGAATATTCCTTAACTCCGGCATTGCAGATTGAACGTAACCACTGTATTATTGAACGCCTAGCTAATGCTTTAAGGAAGGTAAATTCCAATCTGTATTAAATTAAATATGCCAAGCTTATAAAGACCTCCGTAGCAGAGTAGTCCGCACGTCAGTTCCAAGGTATCGCCATCTCTGAGGTCCCGGGTTCAATTCCCGGTCGGGCCAATGTTTAAAATTAACTTTTTTAAATTGTCTCAAATCTGAGATAATATAGAAAAGTTCATTCTCGTTACGTTCCTTGTCTCAAATACTCCATAACACATGGACTTTCGCTACTCATCTTGGAATCTGAGCAACGTATGTAATGTTATCTAATATTTAGGTATATTTAATTTCAGTAAATGCAAAACATTAATCTACTGCTCATTGATGAATATTTACTTTGCTTCCGTTGAAGTCCTTGTATTTTACCCAGCGATTAAGCGCTGAACGCCAGTACTCCACTGAGTAGCTCTCCACGAATTCGACGCCGACAGAGTTTGCGAATCTTCCTTGGGACTCTGTGGCTGTCACTAAATATTCATCCCGTAAATCTATTTGGAGGAATTGTCGGCTGCGAGGTGAAATCAATCCGTTTGGACACCACGCACCGCCGCGGATTTCTTTTCTTATTCTGAAAAAGAAATATAATGTTAAAAATGCATATGATAAAATGAAAATTGAAAAAACTGTTACTCGGATGAATTAACTTCACAACTAAAGGGCTATTCTGTTTCTCCGAAAACTTCTTCTATTTTCGAAGTGCTAATACAAACATAAAGAAAGGCATCTTTTATATAATCTATGACGCAATGGAGGTAGGATCTGCACAAGCCCCTGATGCTCAGATAAATTTCATAGATATATTTATGAGAATGAATAGAAATTTTCCGTTCGTTCGTTCGAGGACAAATAGTATAGGTTCTTAGGTGTCATGTTAATTCGTACGAGTCATTAGATACTTTCTCTAGATTGTTGCAACTAGAAATAAGGACAAACAAACACACTTTTCCATTTATAATGAAGGAAAGTAACAAAATATGGATATTATAACCAAATTGGAAATTATAATACACTTTCAAATAAGCCAATCGAATCCGTTAACCGAAAGATATCTCTATATAAATGATATTATCGCTTTATTTTCGCTAAAACACATTTTAAATTGATAAGGTTTTATTATTCTTTTACTTGTGAATTTTTTCTTTATTTACAGGTCTTTTTATAGCCCCTCAGAATAGTTGATTGACCACGATGGTGGTGATTACCTTAAGGTTAGAACCCATTGACTCAGTGTATTGTATTGTATTGCTGTTCAGTTATGAAATCGTCGTCAAATGCACCTCTGTCACGTTATAGAGGTGCAGTCAAATAAAACCTACTTTGAAAGGTAATAAAGGTTTTATTTCATTGAATTGCTTGAACGACTGGTCTCTAACAAAAAGTTATTATTTTCTATTAAAATTTTGTATAAGTTATTCCTTTAGATAAGGAAATGCTATAATGGCTCCGTTTAAGTACATTATAATGACGGACTATTTGAGAAAGAGAATTTAAAAAATATCGAAGAATTTCGTGATATTGGAAATGCTCATTTTATATAGTCAGTTGAATTAATTAGCAATGTTAGCCTATATACTGCTCTTATTCTCTCTTATTGAAATCTGTAACAAAGTTATCATACATAGCGATGTTGCGGAACTTCTTGATCATGAGCAGCGTAGCTAGCCGTTGCTGTAGGAACTGTATTATAAAACTTCTTCGTTAGTGATTACTAACTCTTTAATATCTTATTTTGAGGTCCGGAGAGGTTACAAAATCTTACTCAACCGGTCCTATTTTACATTCACTTGGGTTGGCTCGCACTTAGCTACTTACATAAGCAGTTCATTATCAAATTATACATTGTTGCTCTACTTTGCGAAGTCCCTCCCCCCACTCTTAACATCTATGACTTTCTAACAAACATTTTTTTATTGTAAACTAACATTACGACAACTAGAAGACAAAAAAGTCTAGGAAAGTTTACATTATTTTATACCTATATTATTTTAGCTGTCCGCCTTGAAAAAAGTTTGTGTTAAATGTGTAAAATGGTCCTGATGATATTTAACATTATATTTCATTTATTTTATTTTAGTCAGTTTTAGTTATTATTTAATAAATTTTATTTCCCTGTTTACAGTATAAGCCAAGGTGTGAACTTATTAATTTTCAAAACTACATTCTTTTGTATTCTTTTTCACCTTGACTCGATGATATTTTAAAGAAATCATCAGTTATGTAAGCACATTTCTGGCGCGGGCATAACTGTAATTGATATATGTATACACAAAAATATCAAGTTTATTTTGTAACAAAATTTGTTAAGCCATACTGTAGTTGTTAAAATATTACAAGTGTTTTTCGTACAACTTGATAGGTGATACTTTATTGATAATTTAATGTTTGTGAATTTCAATGAATATTATATTGTGTACTTATTCATCATCATCATTATAAGCCTTTTTACGTCCCCACTGCAGGGACTCAGGCCTTCCTTATGGATGGTTAAGGGGATGGGCCATGACCCTCCACGCAATACTACTTATGAATAGTTATAAGACCGTTAGAATTAAAGCAAGCGTTATAATTTGTCCATTGTGCTAATCTATTTCTACTTAATGCGACTGCAACTTCGGCTTAAATCGATTATAAGCGCTCGTCGCCATATACAAACGCTTTAAAATAAGTTTGCACAAAAGCAAACATAATTACCATTATAGTCGGAGCAAATAGCACGATCGTTCTGTCTCTCCATTCTGTCAACAAAGGTTGGATCTATTTGGTGAGGAGTTTCATTTGAATATCTTCGTTGTGATCTCATTATAAGGTATGGAAACAAGGAGAGTTAAACGGCGAATTAACGCGGTATCTGCCAAATCGTCCTGACCCTAAATAAAGTGGCGTGAGTATAACACCGGCACATCCATCCCTACTTACATCTTGTTATCTTCGGGAAGTCAAGCTCGTAAAGGATTTTGTAGGATCACGGTCGCTCCGAATTCATATGAAAATTTAATTTTCTGTTAGCGAATTTCTCGAACTGGGTGCGGAGTTTTCGCTATTGTCTCGCACTGAGCTTATGCGGGTTTAAGGCCCGAATGTGAGACCCCTCTGTTAATTGTTTGAGCTAAGTATGAGCATTTTGCGGTTGTGGGATTCGCAATTATTGTAACAACTTGGCCGTATCATAGCACTTTATTGTTGTGTAACAATAGGCGCGGAATAAGCGTATTGTTATGTATCGATTTAGCAGCTGTTTGTTTTGGAATGATTTATGTTTGAGAGATCTATTTAACTGAACATTTCGACGTCATTGATTGTAAATCTATGAAACAGTTTTAGATTCGTAACTAACTAGGTGTGCGACCGCCTAACTCTTTAGCCTTAAGTATAGTAATATGATACGATATCTCAGCGATATTATGACGATATTTCGTTTCATGTTACTACATTGACATGTCTTTTGGTAGATGTATTATTTAAATTTGGAATAAATTACTAAGTTGGCAACACTGCCTTTAAATCCATAATCATCTTTCTTTACCGTTCCTTCGTCGTAACTAAAGTACATGTGAAAGTAGTAAAATGTATTTAAATAAAGTTATAACATAGATAAGATGTCGTATCTTATAACTAGAATCATAGCTTGAGAGTTAGGTATTTGCTTCCTGGTGGGTAGGATGTCTGTCTAATCCTCTACTGTAGGAATAATGTTAATTTTTCGTTACGTCTAATAGGAAAAAAAAAATAGTTATAGAGTTAGTCGCACCCACACATATGCACTTATAAAAACATCTACAACCACACTATTTCTAATAAATTTTACTCTCATAATATAAATATCAAACAGAAAATGAAATATATCTAGTGAAAAAATAGAAATACTTAACTGCAACTGTACACTGACACGATAAAATGGTATATAATATAAGCGCAATGGGTGCTCAATAACGGAACCACAGATTTTCACCTTTGATCCATGGAAATTGGATTAATGGGGTAGCAAATTAAATCGTGTTTCATACTAGCATTCGGGCGAGAGCAATTTGTACATGTACATACAGCAGCACGGCAGATCTGATTTCCTTTGATCTTTGATGATTTTCTTTTATAAAAAAAAAATATTTTTGGTCACCAATCCAAAAATCGACCCATGCGAAAGTTTCTAAACCTGCGACTCCACTGACCGCTGCTTTAAATATATTCTCATTGAGTTGGTAACTTAATATATTCAGTAAAATTTAAATAGTCCTAGGAAAATATGTACATCTGTGAAACCAAAACAAAATATGTGAGATTATATATGCACTAATTCTAACTGCATTGAATCCAAAGAACTAACTCTCTTTCCTCCTCTCCTTACACTCCTTCCTATACAGAGAATCGACTAATAGACACAAATTCCGTTCAAGCCGTACGTGACTACATTTATAGACTTAATAAGATGGTCCGCATAATGCACCATACCTTAAACCAAGTACCTATCTTTGTTTTCAAATATATTGTACAAGCTTTCCGCCAACGGCTTCGTTCGTGTATAAACATTCCTCTTGTTGTGTAGTTAAAAAGATCTCAGAGTACATACAGCGGGAAACAATTTTATTTTATACTATGTTAATATAGACTTGACAGTAATCAAGAAAGCAAGTAACCATTGCACAAATTTTAATAACGTGAAAAATATACATTTTATTTTCTCTTTTTAACCTGGCAAATGTATTAGGGAAGGAGAAAGACGTCTATTGGTAACAAAAATATACCCTACTGTACCTAGAGATTAATAGACAAAGTTAATCATGTAGTTCAGTCATTTCGTTCAGTTCAGTTTAATCGATTGACGATAGCTGCTTGAATCGTTCAGTTCAGTTTAATCGATTGACGATAGCTGCTTGAAAATTCATTTGCATAATTTGTCTAGTCGTTCCGAGTTAAATAAAAGCTTCTTTCGTGTTAAAATACATATAAAAGGGAAAAGTGTGTGTGTTTTTTATGTGTCCTTTTTTATTAACCCAGTATCGGTTCTTATGAAAGACGAAAGAACGTTTAGTTTGAGCAAATCTAATTCGTCGCATAATATCACTAACATAGTAGCTGATAGAATATCACACAAAAATTAAGGTTTACCTTGAGCTGAGAGGCGAAACACTCTGGTCATAACTTGAGCTAGCTGAGAGAGACTCGTTGGAGATCATGCCACTCTCCATACCCAGCGGCACCTCGCAGCGACCAACGTCAGCTGTTAACAATGAGAAATAATGTTACTTAGAAGACATTCAAACAGAATTACTAAATTACTAAGTCTTACATAAGTTTTAGTTTGTAGTGGGAAGATAAATACAAAACTATAAAGTAATGTTTCATCATCAGCTTGTTAATGTTGTTACTATTCCAGGGCAAGAGTCTTTCCGGTGGACAGAAATACAGGAAGAACGTGCTCTCCGAGTTGGGGTTTCATCAGGTAGGTCTACTACAATTTAACCATAACCTTCAGGGTATTTCCTAATATTGGAGCACCCTGATTGGAGACATAAGGTGAATTTCCCCTGCGTTACCAAAAGAAATATATGCAGCTGTGATGAACGATTTAACGTGCCTGGAAACAAGGAAGGAGTTTGTAACAAATAATAAAAATTTGGTTACTTATCCGATTTGATCGCCACTTCACTTAGACAATCGCAGATTTTAATGCATTAATATGCATCCTGAGCGCCTTATTTTAAAATCGATTGCAATCCCTTTTAAAGCTATAACGATTGTGATCGTAGTTTTTGGGATCATGTAACGCTTATAGTCGCAATTGCTATGGAACAAATGATGATTTGAAAGATCAAGAGACAAAATAAATACTTGGCAACTTTAAAAGTTATATTTACGTCTAAGTAATATTTACGTCTAAGCAATATTTTTTTATGGGATAGGGGGCAGACGAGCAGACGGATCACCTGATGGTAAGTGATTACCGTCGCTCATGGACACCTGCAACACCGGAGGGGCTACAAGCGCGCTGCCGGCCTTAGAGGGAAGGGTTGAGGGGTAGAGAGAAGGGAATAGGGAGGGGTTGGGCCTCCGGTACCCTCACTCACACGACGAAACACAACGCAAGCGTTGCTTCACGTCGGTTTTCTGTGAGGCCGTGGCATCACTCCGGTCGAGCCGGCCCATTCATGCAGAAGCGTGGCTCTCCCACGGTATAAAACGGTATATATCTTTAAAAAAATAATATATGTAAATAAAGAGTACTTTATTTAAACTACCGCGCATGCTTACTAATGTTTTATGATTTACTTTGTGGTATTTATTTACTCTCTGAGAAAGATGGTTACATTTAGAAATAATAATTATAAGTTTATTTTTATTAAATTAATTAAACTAATATAAAAAGGAATAGTGAAATAATAGCATTAAATGTTGTTTCTCTTACAGGTAAGATTTATAGGTTTAAAATTTATTATTGTAAAATATTGTAAATGAAATATTGTTTCTCAATAAACAATTCTCTTACAGAGCAACGCAATTAAGTTTTATTTCCAAGAAATCTTATAAATTAAACACATTATAAAACAACATTTTTATGGCTGTTAAATACTAAAATGGAGAAATTAAGGTTTGAATTTGTTATGAAATCGGGAGTAGATCCTAAAACAAATATTATCTGCATAACCTCAATCACTGATGAGAGTAGTAAGACTTTCTTGATCCCAGAAGATTTACAATCAATAAGACTACATGAAGAAATTGTAAAAACTAAAGCTTTTCAAATGATAAAAAATACACTACAGAAAAGACATCAAAAAAGACAGGTATGGATTACAAAAACACCAGAAATAAGTAAAGTTTATACAGATGAAGACGGAAACATCCAGTTTAAAGGATATTTTTTAGAAGAAAGATTGCAGGAAGAACAGCAGGAGACATCATCTGCAGGAATTTCTGAAACAGTATTAACTAGGATCATAGAAAAGCTTTCAGAATTAAAAAACGATACACCAAAAACATGTAATATGAAACAATTGTCAGAGAAATTCGTAATACAAAAATTTAATTCAAAAATCACTAATATATCTCAATGGGTAACTGTTTTTGAATCTGAATGTACGAGGTTAGGAATAGAGGAAGATTCAAAAAAAATTGAAGTACTTAGATTATTTCTCGAAGGCTCATCTTTGGATTGGTATAGCTCCATGCTCATAAAACATACAATAAATTCTGAATGGTTAATATGGAAGGAAAGTTTGTGTGAAACCTATATGGAAAGAGGATGGTCTCCGGTTAGATACGCAATGTTATATAAATATCGACAGGGTTCATTAATAGAATATGCCGTGAAAAAAGAAAAGTTGTTATTAGAGCTGAACAAATCCATGGACATACTCACAATAATGGATTTAATCACAGTAGGGTTACCAAATTACATCGCCGATAAAATTAATAGAGATGAATTAAAAAACATAGAAGATTTATTCCATAATATAAGAGGATTAGAACATTTGGTAAATAAAAAGTATATAGAAAAAAAGATAGATTATGAAAATCAGAACAAAGAAAAAAATGCTAACATGAAACCATGTAAAATCTGTGAGACAGAAAATAAATTTAATCGATACCACCCAGAATCCTTATGCTGGTACAAAAATAAAAATAATGAAAGACAAAAAAGAGTACAGATAAAGAGTGTAAACAATTCTGAATTAGAAACGGAATTAAATGACATGGATCCAAAAAACTAAAGATACCACCATTAATCAAAATAAAACTATTATTAAATGACACCTTGGAAATTTTGGGAGTTTATGACTCAGGATCAAATGTGTCAATTGTAAATTCGAGACTACTGTCTTACAAGAATAACATGAGTAATAAGAATAATACAAACTTAAAAACGATTAATGGTGTAAAAAAAGCTATAGGAATGGCAAATTTGAAAATAAAAATATTTGACATTGAAAAACATATGAATGTATTCATTATAGAGGACGAAAACTTTGATTATGACTTTTTACTTGGATTAGACTGCATACAAGAATTTAAACTTACCCAAAATGAGAAATTACAAATAAAACAAATTATAAATAATCTTCAAGAAAGAAATAATGATGAGGTTTACTCAGTAGGAGAAAATATATATATTCCCGGCTGTACGGGTGATCAAACTAAAGAAAAAATTAAATCTTATAACAACGATGAAGAAAAGAATAATTTGGAAAAGATTATAGAAGAAAATCATAAATATATGATAAATTTTAACGAACACATGGAAAAGAAAAACTTTGAAATTACAGTCAATCATCTAGATCTACAAAAACAAACGGAAATAGATGAATTAATATGTAAATATAAAACACTCTTTGCAAAAGACAAATATGATATTGGTACTGTAAAGGGCTATGAAGCACATATAGATTTGTTGGTAGATAAATATTGTAACAAGAGACCGTACAGATGCAGTGTTGAAGATAAGAAAGAGATTGAAAAACAAATTGCAAAACTACTACAATATAATTTGATTGAAGAGTCTTATAGTCCTTTCGGAGCTCCTGTAACTTTGGCTTTTAAAAAGGAAGATGGGAAAAAAACAAGATTATGTGTAGATTTTCGTGACATTAACAAAATTGTTGTTCCTCAATCACAACCTTTCCCATTAATTGAGGACCTAATGATAAAAACAAGAAATTGTCAATTTTTTTCGACGCTAGATGTAAATTCAGCATTTTGGTCTATTCCAATGAAAGTTGAAGACAGGCCGAAGACAGCATTTGTTACTCAAGAAGGGCATTTTCAGTGGACCTGCTTACCATTTGGTTTAAAAACATCCCCCGCCATATTTCAAAGAATACTTAGTAATATTATACGAAAACATAAATTATCAGATTTTACGGTAAATTATATAGATGACATATTAATTTTCTCAAAAACATTTGAAGAACATATTAAACACTTATCATTACTACTGGAAGCAATTTCAAAAGAAGGTTTTAGATTAAAATTCTCGAAATGTAATTTTGCACAAGATTCAGTGAAATATTTAGGTCATATAATAAAAAATAATAGAATAACCCCATTAAAGGATAATTTGGTTGCAATCAAAGAATTTCCCATACCAAAAACACAAAGAAATGTGAGGCAATTTTTAGGAAAAATCAATTTTTATGGAAAATATGTACCAAACATATCGATTATATTAGACCCACTTCATAATTTGCTAAGAAAAGGACAAAAATTCGTTTGGACAGAAAAATGTCAAGATTGTTTTGACAATATAAAAAAACTACTATGCACAAAACCAATACTAACAATTTATGATCCAGATCTACCAATCCATATCTATACAGATGCCAGTATAGAGGGCCTAGGTGCTGTATTAAAACAACCACAAAAGAACGGAGAAGAAAAACCATGTGCATATTTTTCGAGAAAGTTAAATGAATCACAAAAAAAGAAAAAAGCGATTTATCTAGAGTGCTTAGCAATAAAAGAAGCAGTAAAATATTGGTACTTCTGGCTTATCGGAAAAAAGTTCACTGTTTTCTCAGATCATAAGCCTCTCGAAAAAATGAATATAAAAGCGAGAACAGACGATGAACTTGGAGACCTAACTTATTATCTATCGCAGTTCAATTTTGAAGTAATATATTCCCCAGGAAAATATAATTTGGAAGCAGATAGTTTGAGTAGAAATCCTGTTTTAGAACCATATGAAGATCAAGAGGAAACCTTAAAAATAGTTAATCTTATCAAAATAAAAGACATACAAAGAGATCAACAAAATAATGAAGAAATAAAACAAAACGGTAAAAATATGCATTTGAAAAATAAAATTTATTATAAAAGTGTCAGGAAGAGAGAAAAGATTATACTTACAGAAGAATTTAGTAAAGAATTAATAAGAAATATACATTATCATTATTGTCATATTGGGATACAGCAAATGAATAGAAAAATTAAACAACATTACACAGCAAGAAATTTAACAAATAATATTAAAAAAATCTGCGAAGACTGTGAGACTTGTATTAGAAACAAATCTAGACAAAAATGTAACTTTGGACTAATGTCTCACTTAGGACCTGCTATGTATCCCTTTGAAATAGTATCCATAGATACAGTTGGTGGATTTGGAGGCAGACGTTCTACAAAAACTTATTTACATTTATTAGTAGATCATTTTACTAGATTTGCCTATATATTAACGTCCAAAACACAAAATTCACAGGATTTCATAAAATTAATACAAAGGGTGTTACATATAAACAAAATAGGTCTTATACTATCAGATCAATATCCTGGAATAAATTCAAAAGATTTTAAAAACTATTTAGATACCCAAAAAATACCAATTATTTTTACAGCAGTGAATGCCCCATTTTCAAATGGATTAAATGAAAGATTAAACCAAACTTTAACAAACAAAATAAGATGTAAAATAAATGAAAATAAAGAAAAAAAAGCCTGGACTACTATTGCTCATGAATGTACGGAAAAGTACAATGAGACTGAACACACGGTGACAGGGTTTGCCCCAAAATATTTACTGGAAGGAAAAAATGTTGATGTCTTGCCAGAAGAACTGAAACAAAATGTTACATTTAATGATTTGAAGAAAGACAGAAAAGTTGCATTAGAAAACACTATAAAATCACACAATTATAATAAGAAAAAATTTGACAAAAATAGGGTATACTGTGAATTTGAAGTAGGAGACGCTGTATATGTTGAAAATGGAAATCGATTGAATCGAAAAAAATTGGATGAGATAAAAATTGGTCCATACAAAATTGTGGAAAAATTATCCAAGACAATATATAGAATAGATACAGGGCGAAAAAGATGCGAGTCAAATCTATTCCATATAACGAAACTTGTGCCTGTAATAAAATAGACTAAGATAAAAAAAAAATTTTTTGAGGGGGAGGGGAGATGTAAATAAAGAGTACTTTATTTAAACTACCGCGCATGCTTACTAATGTTTTATG